CTTTCAGGAAACGCGGATGACTCATCTATCGGAACATCTGACGAAGCTAACGTAATTTCAAAAACGAGTTCTACTTAGACTTATTTTTCCAAGAAAAATAAAAGAAGAAAAATGTTTCAAAATTATGGTAAAAATCAAATTTCTGTTGCAAACCAGTTTCCTGATTTAGGAACTCGAGCTTATTTTTGCTGTAGACAGTCTAACGGGGTTTTAGGCATCCAAATTTAGGAAAAAAATCCTACGGCATTTAAACAAGGCAGAGCGGGAGCTGGAGCTGACTCAGCCGCTCCAGCGCATAATTTGAATACACTACATAATCATTCTTGGTTTAAAATTATCCTCCTAATATCTAAGGGCCACATTATCCCACACACGTTCATCTTGATTCATGCGCTCCCCTAGGCCAGCCTTGCAGGTTTCATTAGCGCTAATTAGGCAGCAGGATGATGACATCTCGCTGGGGCTGTCCCAGCCCTGACCTCCTGCAGCACCTCCGAGGTCACAGCCACGGCCTGGCTGCCTTTTGCTCCCCACAGGTAAGGGAGGAGCTGCCAGGTGCAGCCCAGGCCGTGTTTCCCAACCGGAGACGTGTCCAGAGCCCAGTGCCACCGCTGCCACCCAGCACGGGAGAGAACCTCGGGAGAGAACCTCGGGCGAGAACCTCGGGACAGAACCTCGGGACAGAACCTCGGGACAGAACCTCGGGACAGAACCTCGGGACAGAACCTCGGGACAGAACCTCGGGACAGAACCTCGGGACAGAACCTCGGGACAGAACCTCGGGACAGAACCTCGGGACAGAACCTCGGGACAGAACCTCGGGACAGAACCTCGGGACAGAACCTCGGGACAGAACCTCGGGACAGAACCTCGGGACAGAACCTCGGGACAGAACCTCGGGACAGAACCTCGGGACAGAACCTCGGGACAGAACCTCGGGACAGAACCTCGGGACAGAACCTCGGGACAGAACCTCGGGACAGAACCTCGGGACAGAACCTCGGGACAGAACCTCGGGACAGAACCTCGGGACAGAACCTCGGGACAGAACCTCGGGACAGAACCTCGGGACAGAACCTCGGGACAGAACCTCGGGACAGAACCTCGGGACAGAACCTCGGGACAGAACCTCGGGACAGAACCTCGGGACAGAACCTCGGGACAGAACCTCGGGACAGAACCTCGGGAGAGAACCTTGGGAGAGAACCTCGGGACGGAACCTCGGGACAGAACCTTGGGACAGAACCTCGGGACAGAACCTCGGGAGAGAACCTCGGGAGAGAACCTCGGGACAGAACCTCGGGACAGAACCTCGGGAGGGAACCTCGGGACAGAACCTCGGGACAGAACCTCGGGAGAGAACCTCGGGAGAGAACCTCGGGACGGAACCTCGGGACGGAACCTCGGGACGGAACCTCGGGACGGAACCTCGGGACGGAACCTCGGGAGAGAACCTCGGGAGAGAACCTCGGGACGGAACCTCGGGACGGAACCTCGGGAGAGAACCTCGGGAGACATTCTCGGGAGAGAACCTCGGGACGGAACCTCGGGAGAGAACCTTGGGAGAGAACCTCGGGACGGAACCTCGGGACAGAACCTTGGGACAGAACCTCGGGACAGAACCTCGGGAGAGAACCTCGGGAGAGAACCTCGGGACAGAACCTCGGGACAGAACCTCGGGACAGAACCTCGGGAGAGAACCTCGGGACAGAACCTCGGGACAGAACCTCGGGAGAGAACCTCGGGAGAGAACCTCGGGACGGAACCTCGGGACGGAACCTCGGGACGGAACCTCGGGACGGAACCTCGGGAGAGAACCTCGGGAGAGAACCTCGGGAGAGAACCTCGGGACGGAACCTCGGGAGAGAACCTCGGGAGGGAACGCTGCTTGCCCTGCTCTAGCCCTACACCGAGTTTGTGCCTGCATCTCGCAGGTCGCAGAAATAATAATTTAAAAAAAATAAAACAGCGCTTTACCCAAGCTGCAAGTTTCACTTCTGGGATCTATTTTTGCCTCCTCCCGGCAGGGCAGCGGTGCTCGGCTGCGCACTCGCTGTGCTCTGTCCCCGCGCCCGCAGAGGACACCTGGGCCAGGGCCAGAGGCGAAGGGCACTGCCACTGCACGGGGTCCCCTCCGAGGATCTGCTCTGCCTGTTTATCTCCTATAAATATAAATATAAATATAGCAGAGCACACGGGCCATCTCCAGCTCGGAGCGGTCCTGCCCAGGGGCTGCGGCTCTGCAGCACTCACACCTGCCTGACGTCAGCTCCACACAGCAGTCACTCCTCGGGCACACACCAGCTCCTGGACTGACACATCACAGCATCACACCGTGGGCTGGCCTGCAAGGGACCTTAAAGGTCACCTCCCTTCAACTCCTGCCAAGATGCAGGAATTTGTAAAGAAAAATCCAGTGACTAAGTATCTGTCTTATGTCCAAGAGATAATGCAAGAATAGCTGTCTAATTAATACTAATATTATATACATTAATAAGAAATCAAGTATTTTAACATTAAGGTAAATTTTTCAGTGCACTGCTATTTTAGTAAAGAACAAGGACATTACATCCATATTGAATTACTGAAAAATTAAAAATTACTTTTGAATGTCCTAACCAAAAATCTTTTTTAATCTGTACTAAAGTATTGACTGACCTTATAAGGCCCAGACAGAGCTGGTGCAGCATTTTCCTAAATTGCTTTTGCAGAACATCTAAAGTTTAGGATGTTGCAGACAAGGCAACTCAGTGACTAGCGTTGATTGAGCTCAGCACACACCAAAACCAACACAGAGCTGAAACAAAACCAGAACTGAGCAATGGCTTCAGCAATGGGGGCTGGACTGGGAATTCCCCAAAGGGGGATATTCCATTTTCTGTTCATGCAAGGTATTCACACATATGGCACAGCCACTTCACTGCCCACGCCTGCCCAGGGGCTGGGGAGCTGCTGGCAGCCACAGGCGCCGGGACACCGCAGGATCCTGCCCTGGGCTCAGCGAGGGGATGGCCGGATCCCCGGGAGCCTCTCCAGCACACAGCAGCTCAGCCACCGGCAAACCTTTCAGCATGAGCACAAGTAAACAGCTCTGGTCAGCAGTGTATTTTTAAACAGCAGATTCTTTCCCAGCTCCCAGCTCGGCCCCTGGCTGGCTCCACAGGGCAGCAGCGCACTCCTCTCCTCCGAGGATCCGCAGCAACGCTGAAACGTTACCCACGGTTATCACCCCCGGACCTTGCAGCGCTTGGCAAAGGTCAGCCTTGGTTCCTGCATTAAGAAAGGAAGCGAAGAGCCCTGCTGACGGCAGCAGGGCCAGTCACGCTGCCGGGGCTGGGGAAAGCAGGCCAGGCCCGGTCCATCCCCTCTTACACAGACAGCAGCTCCCGCTGCCGCCCGGCTCCAGCAGCTCCCGCACCCCCAGGCAGCGGCGACATTCGAAGGCACTTCCAGCGCCGCTGCCATCACGTCCGGCTCGCTCCAGTGGCCGGTGTCCAGCCGGTGTCCAGCCCTTCGGCCACAGCCTCACAAGCGCAAGGCCAGCGGGGTCAGGCGCGCCTTGCTGGGAAAGCAGCCCGGGGACACGCGGGTGCTGCTGCCACCAGCAAAGCCACCGCGGCTGTCACAGCCCCTCGCTCGGGACTCTGGAGCCAGGCCGTGCTCTGGCAGCACCGCCATCCCCACAGTGGCACCGCGTCCTCGCGATGACACCGCCGAGCTGGGACTCCCCACTGGCACGGGCAGCCCTGGCTCTGCTCCTACCGCCAGCACGTGCTTCATGCATAAAAACATCTTATTTCCACATTTTAAAATTAATACGCTGCATGCATTGTAATTGCTGTATTTAAAAATAAACCAAACACAGAAACAAATCCTTCCAGTACCTGAAAATTAAGCCATGGCTGGGGGTGATGGAGTGGGCATTTCAGGCCTGAGAGCATTGTAAAGCTTTACCCTGTGCCCTAACCAGAGACAAGACACATTTTGGAGCTGGGGACGTTGAGGATTCACAGAGACCCGCAGTAAGTCACTTCCTGCCTGCTCGTGCTGTGCCGGGCCCGGCTGGGACCTGCAGGAGCTGCTCCAGCTCCCTCCCTGTGTGCCAGCAGACAGCTCCACACACTCAGCTCCACTTCCCAGCATCGAGCCCAGCAAAAGAAAATCACATCAGAAAAAACCGACAGACAAATTTCTGCTTCCCAAGGTTTGATTTTTTCATGACTCCACTGGATGAATTCTGCACTGTTTGTGATATGAGTATTTTACACGTTAGGTTATTTACATCGTGGAAAAACCACGAGAAGGAGCTGGGACCTGCACATTTAACATCACTGACACCACAGCTACACTGAAACAACAGTCCTGTATTTATGGTGCCCAGCTGGGATGTGGCTCCTGCCATGCTTGCATGTCCAGAGGCACCTTGCCCTCTGCTAAGTGCTGTCCTTCCCTTAAAGCAAGTGCACTTGGGAAAAAGATGGGATAACCACACCAGTGCCAAGCACGGAAAGGCAAGCAGGGTGCTCACAGACATCCAAATAACCCAGGGAGGAAAACACTCTTCTAAGGTTCACCATCAGCTGTCCAGAGACACCAACAACCCACTGGTAGTTATGAGATGGAAACAAATCCGCATATTGCTTACGTGGTTTGTGCTATTAAAAACAAAGAATCCTCACAGTGACTTTGCTGTTTCTACGTGAAGTGCCCTTTATTCCAGCTACAGGCAGGGAATGATTTGGAGGCAAAGAATGAGCCCCTGTAGCCATACTGGAGGATCTGAGCACTGACAGACGTATTTTCCTTTCGTTCCCTATATCCTTCCCCTTCTCCTGAGGAAAGAAGCAACACAAATCGCCAAGCATCAATAAAATAAAAGCAGCAAAACACCCCACTGCTGGCAGCCAGCACTTGCTCCTGTTTGGCTGCAGGATTTCTCTGGCTACAACTGCTTCTTTCATTAACCACGTATCCTTGAAAATAATGTAATATTTACTCACTTTCAATGAGTCAAAGCAGGCGATTACGCGTCCGTTTTCAACTTGGCAGCTTTTCGATGGGTGTGCAAATTTACATTCCGTGTCTGGTCGTGAGCAAGTCCCCCTTTGGAACTCCCTACACACTTCCAGCGTTAGCCATTTTGTGTCCCGGATCGGTGTGACGCTAACAGCCATCTTTAGATTTTACAGGTAGTTAAAATTTCCAATAAAAATGGGCAAACGAGTAGCTGAACTGATAAACTGGAAATTATGAAAGCGCCACCTCCAGAACACTTTTTCCCCCCCCCGCTCCCTATTTTAAAATAAGTACGTGTAAAACTGGGTGGCTGCAATCTGGAGGAAGAGCTGTGTCACCAGAGTTCAGAGCGTGGCACGGTGAGCGGGGCTGGGGAAGGCCGGGGCGGCGGGCCGGGGTCAGCCCCGAGCGCTCAGCATCCCGTCCTGAGTGCGGCCGCCGCAAGCATGGGAAGGTGGCGGGCTCCGGCAGCGATTCCCGAGCTGCTCCCGGGGACGGCGGCTGGCAGGTGCCTCCGGCAGCGGGCTCGCAGCGGGCGCTGCGGTGCAATCGGGATCGATTAGTTTGGCATAGACAGATGCAGCAGTTTAGAGCAACGACCGACACCGGCTTTGGGCTGGGGTTTTTTCTCCTCCTCTCCTTGGCTTTCGGGCAGCAGAGCTCTGACCTTCGGGGCACACTTTAGTGCACAGTGCAGCGGCGGCGGGGGAGCAGCGCCGGACCGTCCTCCCGGCGGGCGCGGGGCTGGCAGCGGCGGAGCGCTGTCGTCGCAGTCTAGCTGGCAGCAAGCAAGGCAAAAGCAGCGGCTGCTCTAGAAGCGGTCCCAAGCAGCAGCGACGTCAGGAAAGGCACTTCTTAGTACCAACCTGTGGAGAGAAGAGACACGTTACGAGCGGGCGGCGCGGGCGCCCCGCGAGCCGCCGCCCCGCGCAGGGCACTCACGGCTGCGGGCGGCGGGGCCGCGTCCCCGCGCGGGGCCGGGCGGCAGCACCGCCGCGGGCCAATCGCGGCGAGCGTTGCAGCGACACTCCGGGCAGGGAGCCAATGGCGGGGGCCGTCTTATGAAAGGTCGCGCCTGTCAGACGCCGGCCGCGCCGCGCTGCCCCGAGCGCGCCCGCCGGGGGACGCGCGTGCGGCCCGGCGGTACCGGCGAGCGAGCCCGGCCCGGAACGGCGCCGGCACCGGCACCGGCAGCGCCCGCCGGCCCTCCGAGCGGGT